GGGGGGGGGAGGAGGGGAAGAGCCCTCGTAAGGCAAATTGGCAACATCCGGAAGGCCTCACTCTGGGTCAATTGAATATTAATGAAGTTTCAATTATTTTTCGTCAATGGAATTTCAGTTATCGATTGCCCTGCTGTGGCGCCTGGGGTATGACGTTTATCGGGGTTTTCTCGGCTGCGGGATGACATTAATCACAACGAGTGGCTGGAAAAATTAAATCCCCCCGCGAGTTTTCTATTGTTGAGCGTGGAAACAATGAGGGAACATTTGTCTCTGACGGCTGGACTGTATGTAGACATGACATAAATTGGTCCAGCAATGTGCGCTCTCTTTCTCACTCTGACTCGGGTGATCTACATGTGGTGTGGGCTCTTTGGCCACTGCCAATGCTAACGTACACGACAATGCTGCAAACGTGTCGTTTTATGCGCGGGTATCTGCGGTGGTTTCGTGAATGTAATACTAAGTGGGAACGGTATTCCGGGGATGGGGGAGAAACAATACACGGAGAAAATAAATGTTTTTGAGGGCAAATCTTGGGAAATGAAAAATAGTTGAAGGTTACGAAAAAATTGAGTCGACGATTCGACTTTTAATTAAATTCAGTTGACAACTGCAATTTCAAAGAAATTCTAATGGGGATTTCTTGATGAGAAGGACTTTTTTGGAGAATGTATTTTTTTTTCAACAAGTAATTTAAGTAGCGCTAGTAATTTAAGTAGCGCTAGTAAGTTATTAGCCCTAGTTTATTAAATAAATAATCTGTGCGTATTACTTATTTCTTTTCATCTTTTATGCATATTTAATTTTATCCCGTAATTGTCTCCAAGAAATGAAATAAAACGAATTGAAATAAAAATTTTAAATTTGTAAATGATTTTCCAACAGCCGAATTCAATTATTTTCTCAATGAGTGAATTTAAAAACTTCCATGAATGTGCGGAGTGTGTACACCGGTCGTAACTTACCGTTCGACAAAGCAAAAATTCCAGAAACTCGAAACGAGTATAAAGAATTCCCTTGAGTAGAAATATTGCAAGCGACAAATGGTCTAACTGTGATTTTCTCCATTGATGATTTTTCAATTTTCGACACGCGTCTGTCGACTGGCATTCTGCACCAGGCGGACAGTCGCGTGCCGCTTCCTTCAACACCTGGACTTTCTGAATTCATCCGGCGCATCTGTACACCAATACACCCACGTAATTGACCCAGGTTTAACGACTGAATTCTTCGAATTTCGGGGGAGCTTGTAAAACATGAAAATAGTTGAATTACGCTGACTCCCGTAGAAATGTGCTAATTCAGGGGTTTCCGATTACCATACATCAATTCCTTTGTTTTGGTATTTATTCTTTCTTGTAGTCACGTATAATGGCGGAAGCGCTGACGAAGAACTGATGAATCCTCAAATTTTTATTATGATCAAGTTCAATTGTCGCGGGATGATTAATCAATTATCAGTCGTATTCGAGGACTTTGTCCACTTTTTGTTCGTGGAAATTCTTGTCAACACTATAGGTTTTCATCAGATATTACTCATTTGTTGATCATTAATTGCAGTATGATAATATATCATCACATAATTAAATATTCGTATTATTTGAATTTTAAATAACAATTAAATACCGTTTAGAAATCAAAAATATATTGCAAAATATTTAAAACTTAGGAACAAACATTTTTTCACTGGGAAATAATTTCAAAATCGTAGAAAAAAATTCATTTCTCGCAGTTTAAACAATTTTGATTTTTAATTTATAAGAAAACAAATCATAAAATAATTTGAAAATTGCAATTTTCGAACATTGAGACCTTTTTCACGACTGATTCATAAAAAACGGTTCTCTACTTTAAAATTATTCTTTCAAAATCGCGAAATTTCCAAAAGTTTAAACAATTTCCATCTGTATTCATAAAAATAAAATGTAAAAAAACGTAATTCTCCGCATACTTTGAATAAATACTAGTAAATAAAGAGTAATAAAGACTAATACATGGTAAAAAAAATTACTCACGGATTTTTCAATTTTTTTTCCATTCATTAGATCCAATTTTATCGAAAATTTATAATGTTATTCTTCCAAAACCGTAAAAGTTCCTCAACTATCCTTAATCAATTTATGAATGAAAAAAAGCCGTAATCTGTAATTACGAACAGAAGCCAGTGTTTGAATCGCGTCTGAAAAGACTTAATGGACTGTAGCGATTCATAATGACAGGCGTCCATGGGATTGAAATAAACATGACACAAACCACAAGCAGATCGCTCCCCATGTACCATGACGTCGTGAATACGTGTCGAGGATACATATGTGTACATCGTGCTGTGCATAAGTACAACTGAAACCTCGATAAATTCCGCACGATACCAAAACGTTTCATAATTCATAAATCCGCCAATCGATAAAAACCCTTGCGCTATTCTAATTGGAGCCCCACTAATGCACGCAATCAATCACGAGTGATCCATAAATAATCGAAACTATTTATATTGAAACGCCGTCTATCAAATTGCCCCAATAATGAACATGTGACAGAGCCTGCAAGAGTCCCTCGAGGCGAGTGGTGAGTCGGTATCCCTTTTGTGCGCTCAACCAATGTCCGAATAGATTGCCAGCCGACACGCCAGACTGACTCTCATCGAGGAAAAGTCATTTTGTATATAACCCACGGGGTTGTATTCCTTCATATCGATGATGACTGCACTCATTCACCTCACAACCACCTCTATTGGCACTCGTCACGCGATCGGAAATACCTTTTACACAATTATTTTTTCACGAAATTGTTGTCTCGTCACTCAATATCCAATAACTGCAATCAACAAGTCATCGCCATATGGCAGCTTCATTATTCTATCGATGACGCTCTCGCTTTTTTTTTTTTTTAAATCCCACTAAAAGGGAGGAAGATCAATGAAAATATTGAGAGGGGGTACGCTCGCTTCGCTCCCCCCCCTTCATGATAAGTAATAGAGCGCGATTAGTAAACACGCGGAAATAGCGTTAAATTTAGGAACACATTATCATTCACCTCATAATCGTCTTTATTGGCACTCGTCGAGCGATCGGAAATACCTTTTACACAATTATTTTTTCACGAAATTGTTGTCTCGTCACTCAATATCCAATAACTGCAATCAACAAGTCATCGCCATATGGCAGCTTCATTATTCTATCGATGACGCTCTCGCTTTTTTTTTTTTTTAAATCCCACTAAAAGGGAGGAAGATCAATGAAAATATTGAGAGGGGGTACGCTCGCTTCGCTCCCCCCCCTTCATGATAAGTAATAGAGCGCGATTAGTAAACACGCGGAAATAGCGTCAAATTTAGGAACAAATTCTCATTCACCTCATAATCGTCTTTATTGGCACTCGCCACGCGATCGGAAATACCTTTTACACATTTTTTTTCACGAAATTGTTGTCTCGTCACTCAATATCCAACAACTGCAATTAACAAGTCATCGCCATATGGCAGCTTCATTATTCTATGGATGTCGCTCGCGATTTTTTTTTAAAGATCCCACTAAAAGGGAGAAAGGTCAATGAAAATATTGGGAGAGGGTTCGCTCTGTTCGCTCGCTTCGCTCCCCCCCCCCCCTACGATGAGTAATAAAGCACGAGTAGTAAACACGCGGAAATAACGCTAAATTTAGGAAGAAATTATCATTCACCTCATAATCGCCTCATAAATATGCAGAAATAACGTCAAATCTAGGGGATAATCACCAAGTTGTTCACTGAATTCCAAAATTTCGAGGATTCTGTAATATTTTTGAGATTTCACAAATTTCATGAGATTCTTGGAATTTTACGAATTTTATTCCACATTTCATGAGATTTCAAATCCATTCGCACCCCAAATCTCATCAAATAGTTTTTATTTATTCTCCACTTCATCTTCTATTTCACTCAATTCAACACTCGTGATCACGACCCCCCTATGACCTGCCTATCACCGTGTCACATTTTGTTATTCGAAATAGTTGTCTCGTCACTCAATATCTCCAACAACTGCAATCAACCCGTCATCATCATGCGCCCCTCCATCATTTCATATACGACGTTTTCGATTTTTTTGTCAGTCTGATCATCAAGATGAATCAAATGCCTCGCCCATATTCCAACCAAGCAAGGACTCGACAATTTGAATTTAACGGCTGCCATTGTACTTGCGGAAATGTGATCGTTGTGTCACTCAGCCGTGAAGCTGATTGAAAATTCTTACTTC